ATATATATAAGGTTGGGTTCACGTGAGACCAAGGGTTTTTCGTGAAACCCGTGAGACCAATTTATGTTCATTGATCAACTTTATAAGCTAATGATCTAATGGTGTAAAGTTAGAAGGTGACAATTTTGTGATTATTGAGAAGTCTCGTCGCAATTTTGTGATTATGAATGTTGAGATTGTAGATCTAATCCAAGGGTTGAGAATTGGTCTTACGGATCTCATGAAAAACCCTTAGTCTCACATGATCTCTCATGAAAAACCCTTGATCTTACATGATCCCAAGTCGATAGGTCGATAGTTATAGATGTAGATATAGATATAGATATAGATATAGATATAGATGTTCAATTTTAATTTGGCAAAATGAACAGGTATCTCCCAACACTCAAACCAGAAGGGAAGAACTTCATATGTGATGGGGAAGCCAAAAGAAAGTTTCCCCGGATACGATGATGCGGTTTCGGATGAACAACTTATCGGTTTGAAAACGTCCAAACTTTTCTTCGTGGAAAAGGAGATGCGTCCCGGCAAAAAGATCAAGTTGCACCTCAGCAAAGACACGACTACACCCCCTGCATTCGTATCTCGCCAAGTTGCGAATTTGTCGCCCCTTCGATCAACCAGATTGGACAACATCTTTGAAGCATTCTCAGTCCACCCCGGCTCCGTTGAAGCCAAACTAATAAAGCAAACAGTCGTCAAGTGCGAGAAGGCTCGCGACCAGCGACAGGACCAATACTGCGCGACTTCCTTGGAGTCGATGGTGGATTACGCCACTTCAAAGTTAGGGAAACGAGTGAAGCCGATCTCGACACGGGTAAACGGTAAGGAGAGCACAGCATTGCAAGAGTACAGAGTCGAAGGTGTGAAGAAATTGGCAGCTGACAACGTTGTTGTCTGCCACCAAGAATACTATGCATATGCTGTCCACTATTGCCATAAGTCATCGAAGATCAACGCATACGAGGTTTCGTTGGTCGGAGACAACAACATGAGAGGCGATGCGATATCGATTTGCCACGAAGATACTGCTTCGTGGAACCCGAAACATGTAGCATTTCAAGTCCTCAGTGTAAAACCAGGAACAGTGTCTGTATGTCATTTTCTTGTTGAAGATGAGGTGGCTTGGGTTGCATACTAGCCATAGCTAGGTTGAAGTTTGTATTGACCAACTTGTAATGGCTAATAGTTAAATAAAGTCGAGTATGGTCGCATCACTTTCAACCATGATTTACGCCCTTTTGTGATGGTTGGTGCATCCACCCGGGCTCAGCCGCACCACCCAGGGTGCGAGCCACCCGAGAAGAGGACGACTTAAGACAACAAGAACGGTCAAAAGAAGTGCTGAAAATACATGCGTAGATAGTCTAAACGTTTTAAAGACAGAAGCAATACCTCGCGTTATATATCTCATTATCGGAAGTTTTTTTACTACGGAGGTATTGACATAAGAATTTTCGGTGATAGTAACGATATTTAAGAGATAAAGACATGCTGTGTAAGATAAGTGTAAATTGTTCGATAAATACTAATTTATTTTTGTTTCGAATTTTTATTATGTGTTAATTAGTTTGGAGGCCTAAAGTGTTTTCGGATTTGTATATATATATATATATATATATATATATATATATATAGGGTCAGGTTCAGGGAAAACCGTAAAAAATGAAGATATGAGGAACACCTTGATAACCGTTCATCTGAACGGTATCTACATGTATATACAAGTAAATTTTAAGCAATTTGTCCACTTATGCATGCATAATATGCACGTGTGCACAAAAACCAAAAATCAATTTCAATTACTTGTATGCACATATAGATATCGTTCAGATGAATGGTTCTTTTCATTTTTTTTCCGATTTTCCCATGAACCTCCCCCCC